TCAAGCCACATGGAGGGAAAAAATGCAGTGTGATGATTTATTAAATGAATTCAAATTATATTTTATCTGAGGTTGTATGATTGAAAAAGCTAAACATGACAGTAGGAACTATTGAGACCCCATTGTTTGTGGCAATTATTTTTTTAATTCAAGAGAGAAATATTATAAACTGACTTTTCCAGAGACATGGGGAAGTTAGGAGGAAAGGACACAGTCTTTCCTTTCGATATGCTCATACTCTAGGGGCATCCAAACTTCTGGCATCTCTGGGCCACACTGGAGGAAGACGAGTTGCCTAGGGCCACACATTAAATACATTGTGACACATAATCACACACACACACACACACACACACACAACCTCATAATATTTTGAGTGAATTTACAGTTTCACGTCGGGCCGCATGCAGAGCCGTCCAGGGCTGTGTGCAGCCTGCGGGCCGCAGGTTGGGCACCCCTGCCGGGAACGAATGGCACTAACAATAGTGTAATAGTAACACAGTGAATGTTTGCACAGTGATCACTCTGTGTCAGTCACTGTTTCAGGTGCTTTAAATTTATACATAATGTATTGCAACACTGAGGTTGGTGAGGTAGGCAGGTACTTACCAGTGGTAATGCCGTGCAGTCACGTGAGGCCCTAATTGTTCTTAGAGACTGAAGGACTTGTTCGGGCAGAGAGGGAGTGTGCGGGGGATGGACATGGCCTTGGGTTCACAGAGTCTTTCCGCCTCCAGGTACGCGTACAGTTTTGGACTTTCCCTGGAACGCTCTGCTCTTTAACAATTAATAACACCAACCTTGCTTCTTTTTAAATCCATGTTAAAGATGCATGCAAAACTCCCTGCTCATAGTTAGCTCCCAGTAAAACAAGTTTTATTATTAGGTAAGGAATTATTGGAACACTCAAAGATTTTAATAAGAAATGGCAGAAAAAACTTGTATGAGAAAGAAGCAGCAACAGGTGATATGACCTGACAGATACAAAGTGTGCTGTTTATAGTGGCCCATTCATTTTCTTGTAGCGAAGGGGCGGGAGGGAGAGGTAAGCCTGTGGTCTAGGAGGGTAAGCCTCCTGTTTTGTGCTGCTTAAACCAGAGCTGAGCAAGTAACTCCTTGCCTGTTTTTGTAATAGCTGAAGAGCTATGATGGTTTTCCATTTTTAAATGACTGAAAAAAATGTAAAGACCAACGTTGAGTGATAGGTGAAAGTTACACAGAATTCAACTTCTAGCACCTGTAAAGACGATGTGATTGGGACAAGGCCGCAGGAGTTCATTTGCATGTGTCAGAATTCAGTGGTGTGGCCTGCAAAGCCTAATTATTGACTAGTCCTTGTAGGAAGAGGTTGCCAACACCTGCCTTAGTTACAGTGTTTAGCTTTTGAAAGCCTAAAGTTCATCAGGCAAAAAAGCCCACCCACTTTTATCATTTGGGAAAGACTGTACCAAACATGCTACTTCCCCCTTCCAGGGTCTCTGACATAGATGTCCCATGCCAGGTGGGAGAGCACCCTGGAGAGATCACAGGGTGGCTCTGTGCGTCACTAGTTTGGGTCTGTGTCACTCACATCTGATTCCACGTTCTTCTTGATCCTACACATCGCTTGCTGATGTGGGCAACCGCGCGAACAATGTTTTGGCTACATTTACAGTTATATGTAGTCTCCAGCGATATGTAGGTTCAAACATTGAATAGGACCAGTTTAAACCTTACCCCTGTCTCCCATTCTTTCCTCTTTCTTTGTCTTTTCTCAATTGCCATTTTAACATTTTTCCCCATGGATAACCCTGCTCATTAAACCTGAGACTTATGAAATGTATTGCTTATACAAAAATCAATAAGAAAAGGAAACAGGAATTAAAACATTATTGCATAAGCCTTTTCTTCAATTAGTTTAACAATCCCATCCATCACACCGCACCCATCTATGGAAACTGGATGTCTGGCTGATTCTGATTTGCTCTGGAAACCATTTGGTGCAGCAGTTCCTTTTGTCTGTAATTTTGATTCATGGCCCTTCATATGAATTATTTTATTGCTCTATTTTCATAATAGCTTTTAGGCAGCCAATCATCATGCAGAATACTGTGTTTCTTTATGATTCAGTGGCATCCAGATGTCTGTACTTCATGTAGTAGCCTTTTAGACACATTAGAAAAAACAAGTTGCTTTAAAGCAATAGCATTCATTTGTGCAGAAAACTTTAAATTATTCTGTCACAAGTCAGCCATACTTTACCTTGAATACAGAAATACTTGGTATCCCTTTTGGTAAACCTGAACGAGTATCTTAAAGGTTGTGGTCGTTTTCAGTTGTTTTAAAAGAAGATGGCAAACGTGATTTTTAGAAAACACGTTCTATCTGCAGAGACACTATGTGTGAAAGAAAAATTCCCCTTGTATAATGTGTCTGTTTTATAAGTGATATTAGAGCAAACTGAATAGGCTCATACCTAATATATTTTTGTATGTGTAGACTTTCTAAGTAAATGCATTTAGGTAAATAAGAATGTTGTGTTGTATTCCCAGCAGCACCCCAATTAAATTTTGGACACCATGTGTAGACCCCCTAAAACGTGGGCAGCATGCTCAGGTTTCCTGCAGGAGGAGCTGCATCGAATTACCTGGTGCCTTTTAAAGATACGTCTGCTGGTGCCTCGTTCTGGATCTGCTCAGTGAGAATCGTGGAGGGGACAGACACGTGTTAGAAAGTTCCCCAGGCTGGTCCCGATCCTCGCGTTTGGCTGAGAACCCTTGGGTTCGAAATGCTTTCAGATAATAGACACAAAAAGGCGGCCTTCAGAACATATCACTGAATCTGTTCATGGTGATGTTTAGGGCACTGTTTATCATTTTTGCATGAAAACTCAGATAAGAATTAAGCATTTTTCATAGTAATTCTATGTCGTTATCTGTGGTCAGGAGAAACAGTACACCGGTATGTTCCCCCACCTCCCACTTCAGCATCAAGAGTCTCTGGGACAAAGGTATTACGCAGTTTTAAGGCTCCTGTGGCTTGGATATCTGCATTCTAGGTTATTTTTCAACTTTTTTAAAATTATTTTTCAATTAATTAATTTATTTTTTTCAAATACATTTGTCTCTGCCTCCCCCCCACCACTTTCCCTTGCCCCCTCCCTCCCTCCCTCCCTCAGCTCTTCCCCTTTGGTTTTGTCCATGAGTCCTTGCTATATGTTCCTTGACTTTCCCCTTCCCTTCCTTCAACTTTTTTGTTAAAGATTTTACTTATTTACTTTTAGAAGGAGGGGAAGGGGGGGAGAAAGAGAGAGAAATTTTAGTGTGTGGTTGCCTCTCACATGCCCCCTACAGGGCACCTGGCCCTGCAACCCAGGCATGTGCCCTGACTGGGAATTAAATTGGCAACTCTTTGCTTTGCAGGCAGGCACTCAATCCACTGAGCCATGCCAGCCAGAGCTATGGTTTTTGTCCTAATTGAAGAATTTATTGAGCCCCTGCTATGTACCAAATTCCTAATAGTCATTGATGATTCTAGTGATGAACAGTGTGGAGCTTACAATCCACTGGGTGAGACAGCTGCTAAGGAAATAAATATTTCAGTACGAACTTCCTGGTCTAGATCTCAGAAACCCATTTTGAGTATTGATTTGTACTTTTCCCCCCTCAGTATGTATCAGACATGAGCCATGGAATCTCTTTATATAATATTTATGTGCAAGCACATGTGTAAATTTGTATTTTATATATGTATATATGTGTGTTATATTTTTATAAGTGTATATACACACACACATACATATAGTGTGTGTGTGTGTGTGTGCAGTTATATATGCCCTTTGTTTGTATTTTTGAGCTGTATTGTTTTATGTATATGTTTGGATCAGCGTCGCATCCCGGGGGGATGAGGTGGAATGCGTGTGAACCTGTATGGGAGCACACACGTGCTCAGAGACCTGGGTAAATTTGGATTACAGTTCTCCACATTACATTTTAGCCCATTTTTCTTAGTGCTTTTTTTTTTTTTTGGTTAAATATTGACAAGTAAATTATGCTCTAGATTTGATAGTATTTCTTTCAATTTCTTTACATTTTGAAATTTTTGTTTTACATCATTAAATGTAAAGACTATTTGGGGACTGTTTTTAGTGGTGAGACTGAGATCGAAAATCACAGGAAAAAGACAAAAAAAGAAAACCGGTGACTCTGTATTCCTTGAACAAAGAGAAGCATGTTATTGTCGGAAAAACATCACCATGCTGTGGAGGTGATTCTTTTTCACACGTGGTGCTGCGCGGGTACATTTCTTTCCCGTTACAACCTTTTAAACTACCACGTGGTTTGACTCGGGTCGCTGTTTTTGCAGATAGTGTTAGCATGTTATCCTCTTGAAAAGTTACAGAACAGACGTTCTGGAATGTGACCGACAGCCACCTCCTGTATACAGAGCGAGCGTGTGTCCTGGTGGAGGCAGCAGAGGGGGCACCTGGGTGTTTCTGGGAGCAGCGCTGCTGTGTTGACAGACAGCTCCGGCTCACCACACCCCCTCTGCCGCTGGGGCTGTGTTTGGAACCCCTGCGCCCTCAAGATTATAACAAAGGCCCCCAAAATCCGTGAAAATGTCCTTTTAATGAGAAATTCTGTTGCAAGTTACATTTCTCTTTGCCTTTCATGTGTCCCAGTGGATAGTGTAGTTAAATGACATGGTTGAAGAACATCGCATAAATGTCCCTATTGGAAAAGATTTTTAAATCTTATCTGTTGTCTTTCAAATGATACTCTGAAGTCTTGGATTTGACCATGTAATGTGCAATGTCCTGCAGCAGAGCAGATTGGTTAGGTCAGAAGCACTTACCAAGCAGCAAGGATTCTGATTGGCATTATTATTTATTACTTTTGATTGCTGATGGTGCATTTTTGTGGCTGAGTCCTTTCCATGCATATTGACATTCATAAATGAAAAGGCTCTGCTTTATGGACAATTTAATTGGTAATTTAATTTTCCTAATAACTTTCTTGCAGGACCTGGATTTTGAAGCCAAAACAAGTTATACTCTACGGATAGAAGCCGCAAACAAAGACGCCGACCCTCGCTTTCTGAGCTTGGGGCCGTTCAGCGATACTACGACCGTGAAGATAATCGTGGAAGACGTGGACGAGCCCCCCGTGTTCTCCGCCCCCTTGTACCCCATGGAGGTGTCGGAAGCTACCCAAGTCGGGAACATCATTGGCACTGTTGTGGCTCATGATCCAGACTCTTCCAACAGCCCCGTGAGGTAACAGCTCCTTGCTCTCCATCTCTACGCTTCATGCACAGCCTGTGTTCCTACGTTAGGATGCTTTTGGTTCGTAGCAAATGAAAACCAATTTTGTCTCTGTATTGAGCCATAGCAGCGAATGTGAAACAGGATCAGAACACCTCAACATTTTACTCACTCAGAATGGGTCACCTGATCTTCCAGAGCCATTATCATGTGACAGTATTGTGAGGCCTCCATTATTATCCACAAGTGATAGCTGATGCTCTATTCAGCCAATTATCCTCAGCTCTTTCGGAGCAAACTGTGTCAGAGGTGAAGTGATGCCTGTCCTAGTTACAGGGCACGTGCGTGTATTGGAAAACTATTTTCACAGGTAATTGAGATTAGGGGTGTGTTAGGATAGTATATGTTATTTAGTTATTTTCACTTATAAAAATAAAATAGTACCTAATAAATGTGTAAGTACTATTTTTAAATGTCCATTCAGTTTCCCTGTACAGAGATTAGATGTATTATTATAACCAACTAATCTCTTTTGTATTAACAGGATTTAGTGCTAAAAGCATTTCAGTGTTTCACAATATTCCATTTCATATTTTGTGCCTAGAGTTTACAAACCAAAATCTACATGTATATTTTGGGGTTGTATGTATGAATGGGTTGTGTGTGCACATATAATAATTTATGTCCTTTTAAGTGAATGTCATATATACAGTGTACTTGAAGTTACATTGTATTACACATCTTACTTTGGGATCTTAAGTAAGACCTTTCAGTATGACAGTTTGGATTTGATTACACAGTCTGAAGTACAAAAAGCAATGACTCTTATATTCTGATACATTCAGCTTATAAACACAGCCTTTCAGATTTAACCCATACTTAAAAATTCTAAGTGTGTTTTAGCTAAATTCTGAACTAAGTCTGGATATTGACTATAAAGCACGATGAAAAATATCTGTAATTTAGGCATTGATTTAGAAGAAAAGCTCACAATTTTTATCTTCCTAAAACTATAAATATGTGTGTGTATAGTATTCTTTTTTCTTTTGTCTGACATTAATATTTAGCCCAGTAAAGAATTGGTGTAAAGTAATTGTTATTCCAAAACTGAATTCCTAGTCATTGTTTCCCTGTCTCTATAAGAAATGCAGACTACTTAGATGGATATATTATTTTAAGTGCAGTGATCATAAGCCATTTTAAGAATATACTCCTCTGTGCACTAGAATGTTTGTAAGTCACAAATATACCAGGTAGAACAAGCCTGCCCCTCCTCCTCATTACAGCGCGGCCTTCACTGCCAAAGCAGCTCCCTGACTCCAGCTCAGCTCCACCCACCAAGTCTCCTTGGCTCATACTTGCTTGAATTAGGGTTTTGTTACAGCATCACATCTCCTAGTGACACACTTGAGTCTCTTCACCCCACAGACAACAGCCACGGCACAATTGTAGCCATAATCATGTACTCGGGACAGTTTGGCTTCTGCTTAAATTAGTTCATTTCATGGGGAGAAAGAGAGAATGCTTTCGTGAGGTTGGGGATAAAAAAAGACAACATTTAAGGAAATTTTGATGTATCGCCCTGCTATTTTTTTTCCTCATTTGTTATGTTGTTAAAGCTTTTTAGAGTGAATATTACACTTTTTTATTTTTTATTTTTGTAAAAAATCTGGTACTATATAATAATTTGGGGAAGAAGAAGGGTGAATAGGCCCAAGGGGGCACTAGCTGGAGTCAGAGGTGAAGTGAGCGTCATGTGTGGTCTCGGACACACAGAGACAGGAGGGGACAAAGGCTGAACTTTGAGCGTTTGGGACGCGGAGACCTCTCTGGCCTTAATGAGAGAGAAGCTGGCCCGCGCCATATTTTTACCTCATTTTAATTGTCCTAAAACTGAAAAAAAAAAAAGACCTAAAAGTTCAGGTTAGTACTATCTTGTGTCTTCTAATCCCTAACCGTATCTTACAAACAGAGACGGACTTCATTCAGAGTGAACTAAAATGTTATTTTTGTGTGACTATTTCTTTTTGCATTTGTAAGATTCATTTACTTACATTTAAGAATCGCATGCTTGGCACATTTATCTATTTGTGTAAGCGCAGCAAAGCCCTTCACAGCTTATGTTTTTCTGGATGCGTCTGTCACGGATTTGGCCTTCCCTGCCCGCTTAGGATGCACTTGCAGCCCGTCTCACTTTGTGGTTCTGGGAGGAGATGTATACTCCTGCGCATGCCCTGTAGAGCTGGCGCCCTCCCCGCGCTTGTGTGCGGGGAGATCTAGGGAATGCCACCCCGCCTGCCGAGTGCCCTGTAGCCCCGCGAAAAGGGGGAGCAGCCCTGCTCCCTGCTTTAGCCCAGGTGTTTTGAAGATTAAGGAAGGCAAAGTAACTGATGCTTTTAAGCTGTGAACTGGGACTTAAGGATTAGGAAGTGTGATTATACATTGTTGTTGTTATTATAGCTTACTGTGTTTTCAAGCCATTTTTATTTCAAAATCAGTAGCATCAGGGAAAGGAGACATTTTACAAGCCACTATGTTGAAAATTGTTTTGTGGTCACATGTGTTACAGTGCATAGAAAATATTACATAGTTGTTTAATGGTGATAAGCATGTATTTGCATTTGGGCGCGCGAGTAACGATCAAAATGTAAGCCCTCCTTCCACAAAGGCCAATGCACAGGGTAGGTAGTGCAGCCTTCTGAGGTCCCAGGAAAGGGGCTCTCGGGTTGGGATGGAACCTGAAGGTTCTTAATAATTGTCAGCTTTGTGCTTCTACACCTTCAGAAATACTCTAGTTCTTAGAGGAATGGCAAAGCAATATTTGTTTCATTGTAATTGTTTAAAAGTAGGCCAGTGGTATTTGAATTATAAAGCAGGATGGGATAATTAGTGTATGAATGTCCTCACGTTCTTTGTAGTAGAATACTGACGTTTAGCATATGACATTTACATTTGGAATATTTTTTCTGATATGTGGAATAAGAGATTAAAATTCTAGAAAGCAATACACTGACTTGCCTCCAGCAAGGTAAAATTGAGATCCTCTTCTCAAATAATCTCTGCCTTGCCCAGAATTTTAAAAATCTTATCTACTTTTGGCACCAGTCAAAAATTACTCGTAAGTCTTCTCTGTGCATCTGCCCTTTTCTTAACAAAATACTGGGCTCCTTCAGCAGCAAGGAGCACTTGGGTGGGTGAGCACTGTGGTGGCAACAGGGCAGGCGGGACTATAGGAACCCAGAGCCCCGGGACTGGCTGGAACAGACCCCACTGTGAAATGCTCTGTCCTTGTTATCCTTTGCCCACCAGGCAGGTGTGGTACGCAGCCCAGCATGTCAGGTGCACTTCGATTTCCTCTTTTCCCACATGGAAACTAGAAGCCAAAGCTGAAGATTATGTGATTGATACCTGAGGTTACTTAGCCAGAAAAAAGGGGGGCATTTTGAAAGCAACATGGATAACTGAGGGTCAGCATATTTCTGTGTGTGTGTGTGTGTTGTGTGTTTTATTTTTAAGTACTGTGTGTGTGTGTGTGTGTGTGTGTGTGTGTTTTAGCTACTAGTTGCTTACTATTTCCTATAAATTTTGGCCTTAAATACCAAATATCAGGCTTTGTCTACTAACTTGCAAGGACAGATTGTGTTCTGCTGATTCTGATTATCTTTCTGAACTATGGAAACTTCCCGTCTGTGTTTGTTGTCAAGCTGATAAAAACTGTAAGAGCAACCTAGAATCTAGGGGACAGTTCCGTTCTCTGCTCCGCATTGGTAGGCAGGTCAGTGAATCCACATACGTGTGCTAAGAACCTGCTTTGTGCATGACATTGGGGAAATTCTGGCAGGAAAAGCAAAGATGAATAAAACATTTCCTCTGACCTCAAGTACCTTACAACCTGGTGGAAAAAATAATTGATTCCATAAACTTAAGCGATACATGGAGCAAGTGCCAGAGCCGGGACACTGTGAGGTAAAAGTCACCACTCTGGGTTCGCCGGACTTGAAACTTCACTTGAAGGGGCGGTGGCTCGAGCAGGGTGCGAAGGACGGCAGGGTTTGGAGCAGACAAGGAAACACTGTGCAAGGTCTGTTTAGGTTTCATGTAGTTACACCCTCCGAGTCTAGTGCTGTACCATTAAATCAGGGAATTTATTTCCGTGGGCAGTGCAGCGAGCCCAAGGTCCCTATGCCCACAGTAGCCGATGCACTGCATTATGATGATGTTACAAGTGAGAGCGGACGTGAAGGGGGAAGGGCGAATAAAAATTAATGAGGGTCATTTTCAGCATTTCTAACAATTTCAGTGCAGAACCGTATTTGTATTTATGTTTACAGATTTCAGGACAGTAATATTTACCTGCAGGCTCTTTTCGCACTCCTGGTAAAGTATGTTCTCAGATAAAAGGTGATAAAATAGTATCAGATATTACATTATGTAGTGTGACTAGTGTGAACACATTTGGGGTGTTTGAATAATTCAGTGTGTATTTTTAAGTATCTGGTATGCATGCATATATTTGTGCATATTACTTTGATCTAAATCTATTTGTAAATATCTGATTATTCTGAAAAACTTAGTGATCCAGGAACAAACAGAAAAATAGTGGTTCATTCAAAAGGTAGCAGAAATCAAGTCGATGAGGAAAATAGGAGTTGTATTCTATTTAAAAATGCTGCTGAATTTAATATAATTTTCACTAAAAACAAAAACTATATATATACACATATGCATACACATACATGCACACACACACTATATATATATATATGTATATATATATATATATATATATTCATTCAGGTATGGTGAAAATAAAAAGTTTTCATTAGAATAGTTCACTTAATATCCAGAGATAATTTTCAAACCTGGTTAAGTAGGAAATTCCTAATTTATATGACCATATTTTTATCATTTATTGTATTGCTGTAGAATTAGAACTCAGAGCAAAAATCTTTCAAGTTGGCTTTAGGAAGATTCCAGGTAAAATGAATTTATTGAAGATTACATTTCTTTTA